AGTCTTTCCAGGTTTTTCTGAAGTCCCCCTGCTCATCATTTCTTATAGCACAATAGTATTCTATTACATTCATATACCACAACTCATTTAGCCATTCCCCAGTTGATGGGCATCCCCTCAATTTCCAATTCTCGGCCACCACAAAAGGAGCTACTAGAATTATTTTTGTACGTGTAAGTCCTTTTCCCATTTTTAGGATCTCTTTGGGATATAGACCTAGAAGTGGTATTGCTGGGTCAAAGCATATGCACAGTTTTGTAGACCTTTGACCATAGTTCCAAATTGCTCTCCAGAATGGTTGAATTAGTTCACAACTCCACCAACAATGCATTAGGGTTTCAATTTCCCCACATCTTCTCTAAAATTTATCATTTTTCTGTTTTATTGTGTTAGCCAATCTGATAGGTGTGATATGGTACCTCAGAGCTGTTTTAATTTGCATTTCTCTAATCAAAAGTGATTTAGAGCATTTTTTCATATGACTACAGATAGCTTTAATTTCTTCTTCTGAAAACTGCCTGTTCATATCCTTTGACCATTTATCAGTTGGGGAACAACTTTTATTCTTATACATTTGACTAATTTCCCTACATATTTTAGAAATGAGGCCTTTATCAGAGACATTGGTTGTAAAAATTTTCCCCCAGCTTTCTGCTCCCCTTCTAATCTTGGTTTCATTGACTTTGTTTATGTAAAAACTTTTCAATTTAATGTAATCAAAATTACCCATTTTTTCATAATGTTCTCTATCTCATTTGATCATAAATTCTTCCCTTCTCCATAAATTTGACAGGTAAACTATTCCTTGCTCTTCTGTTTTGCTTGTAGTATCACCCTTTATATCAATGAAATTAGTACAATGTCATCTACAAGTAAGATCATTTAGGGAAACCTGCTATCAATTGGAAATACTTTCTTTGCTTGCACCTTATATTTTCATGACCCTAGTAAGAGTGATCAGAGGTATTTTAATGGTTCATTTGCTATTACAGCTGTTCTTACATTATACAATTTCTGTGACTGCCCTTTTGTTATTATTTTAAGAAGAATGAGGAAACAACACCCAACAATAGCTTTTGACTTAAAAGACTGAAGAAAGGAAAAACGGGAGTTTTACCAAATAACAATCAGCCTAATTCTTTGAGGGATGGCTTGGAAGTTGAACTATCAATAAATTCATAGTGGGTAGCTTCAGAAGGTTTATAGTTAACGTTTCCATAAGACTTTAAGGTTTACAAAGTATTTTACACACCTTTTATTTGATTCTCACAAATATCCTGTTGTCCTTCCAACAAGGTTTTCTAGGGCTAGAGCTCCAAAGAGATGCCTATAGACTTAGATTTAGAAGCATGGAGAGAAAAGGAAGATTTTATATAGGCATAATATGTTCTTGCAATGTACCTGCAAACACCACACTTTGTTGTTGCAAAATGTACTAATCAGGAGGAATAAACTCATTGTGTTTCCCTGGAGGAGTTTTAAAGTGAGTGTAGGGACCTCTGAAGAAGGAAAAAGGGAAAAGAGTATTTTAACAATAGGAGAGATTGAATCAAAAGGCGAAACTAATATGGGAATCATCTTCTAAATCCAATGAAATTCTAATGAGAATTTTAGTTGGAGCTGATGTTCTTAACCTGGGATCCATGGACTCCCAATGTATCTAGGAATGTATTTCAGAAAGTCAGTGAACTTGGATTAGAAAAAAAAATTACCTTTTAATATTCATTAACCTTTGTTCCTTTCATGAACTTAGACATTTTCTTTTATGCGCTCAAAAACATTTTAAGAGGGCTTCACCAGGCTGCCCAAAAGGTCCATAACACACCAAGATTAAGAACCCCTGGGATAATATAAATAAGGGAGATGTGTATCTTAATTTTTCAAGTCAGGGTTTGTGATTATGTTTTATAAGCAGGCTAGGGAAAGAGGAATTTCATGGGAGAGAACATCTATAAAAAACTTTAAAATTATCCACCTCTATCAAAGCCCTGCTCCCCCCACACATTTACTTAGGATTTAAAATTTCCCAAACTGTGGCTATTTGCCTGTTATTTTAAGCCTGAATTTTAAGTGAGGCACCTGAGATGATCTTCAACAGCTTGTCAGTTTTTGTGACAGTTTTTGGGAGCAGCATACTAGCTTGCTATGGAGACAGTCAGCAAATACTATGAAGATGCAGCAAGGTTTTAGCTGTCACCTAGTTACTTGTTTTATTTAATTATATTCCATTTTCAGAAGAGGCCTTGTATGGATATAAAGTTGAATTCAACAAGCATTTATTAATCACAGGCTTTGTGCAAGGCAGTAGCAATATGAAGACAGAAGGAGAAAAAGTCTCTGATTGCAAGGACTTCTCTTATTTGTATGACCTTGGGCAAGTTATCTGACCTTTCTGAATTTTCTCACTTTCTACATAAATTGAGGAATTTGAGCTAAATGGTCTGAAAGAGTGCTTCCTGCACTAAATCTGAATTACTATATTGAAGAGAAATTTCTGGAGATATATAAGTACAGGGTAATCTGCGGAGGGAGAGAACACTGCCTTACTAGTGAGGCCAGTCAGAAGGCAACCATACTAGTCCAAGAAAAATTGCATTTTTTCCTTATCTTTAGTTTGTCTTCAATAGGAAAAATGATTTTTTCAATGACTTGAGAAACACTGGGAGCTATTTATAATTTAAGATCGTAAAGTTTTAAGAAGTAATTAACTGAGTATTTTGTTAGGGGTTTTCTCTCCTCATAGGTATTCAGAATCTTTGGCCAGGGTTTGACTTAAAGTAACTAGAGTATGTTTAATTAGCAAGAAGTTCCATTCACTGTGGTTCAAGCCACTCAATGTATTGTAAGAATAATACTTCTTTGAGGGCCTTAATTTCACCATGACCTCCCAATTCACCCAAGGGAATAAGTAGCATTGACATGAATAACAGTCACCCAGGCTAGCTCATACCCGGAAGTACAGGGCAGCAGAAACAGAGAATGTTCTGCTCAACTACTGCAAGCAGTTCTTAGTAGATGAGCTAAAGATGCACCTGCTTTTGACCCAAGCTTGTGGTAACAATCTGCTGTCCCACAGGGACACCGGAACTTCCTGGCATTTGGTCATTCAGCCATATGCCAAGAGACCTGGAGACCAGCAGGGCACCTGGCAATCATAGCCCAATTGTCCAATACCTCTGTCCTGTATCCCCAGAGTTTAGGGAAGGACTTCTTAGATGAGTACGGGTTGTCATTTAGGGGGTGTGCAAAATGTTACTCTTATCCAAGCCAAGAATAATCCATAATTTGTGGGAGCCCTCTCCTAAACCGTGACCCCTCTATTTTCATATTTGGCCAAAAGGAATGAAAATAAAAGTTGACTGGCCTATTAATCTTCCTGAGCATCAACACAGCTACATACCTTGAGCCTTAGGTTTGAGAGCTTCTTATCTAATTTTGAGTCCAGTAAATAGATTTGTGAAGATTTACTGTTTTTCATCAAATATGGAGTCCCAACATTCTTCTGACTCATGTTCAAAAGTAGATTTGCACAGAAGTCAGAGCATCCCCTTAAATTCATCAGTAAAAAGTGTCCTGTTATGAGGGAACTATGAGTTGAGAGCAGTGGTTTAACTATGAAAAAAAAAAGTACACCTGATACACTTTTTTGTAGGGTGGGGGAAGAGAGAAGACAATCAGGGTGAAGTGACAATTAAGTTAAGGCCCAGGGTCACATAGCTCAAAAGTGTCTGAGGTCAAATTTGAACTCAGGTCCTCCTGACTCCAGGGCCGGTAAGTTTGATCTAGATTATTAACATCTTCTTCATCACTTTCTAAAGTCTAGACAGTCAACAAAATAATAAATCCAACCCAGATTATTGCATTTGCCAATCTCCCATGCTCACACTGAAAATTTAACAACCTGCTCCAATTAAGCTGGTGTCAGCACACCCCTGCTGAGTCTCACTCAGCTATTAGACACTAGCTGATTGTAATACTTGAGGAACTGGTGGGATGTACTTTTTTTTAAGAAGGTAGGAACTGAGTTGGATTTATGAGGACTATGAGATTGCTTTTAGTTATTTGGTTTTGGTTCCATGTATCTGCAGGTATATGCAATATCAGAATAGAGCTAAATTTGATTGTCTATTTCATGACTGGATTTTCAGGAAGCATATTTATAATGCCTTATTGAATGAAGGCCATATTGCCTTACTGTGTTTAGCAACTAGTGAGCCCTCATCTCACTATACTGGAAAAGAACAGAATGTGGTATAGAGGATAGAGAGCCAGACCTAAGTTCAAGTCGCACTTCTAACATATACTGACAATTGACATACCCTCCCAGTGCCCTGGAAATTCTCTAAGGTGATAAATTGCAGAGAAATTTTCAACCTTCATTGGTACAGAGAAGGGGTTCCCTCTATCAGTGAAATCCTAAGTCCAGGCCCAACCCCCTCAAAACTCTTTTCATTTATTCAAATTATATGGCATACACGGCATTCTTCTTTCATACGTCTAAATCAGCTTCATCTCAGAGGCCCGGAGATTTTTATCTCGTTCACCTGCTAAATTATTACTTTATATTATCAAGGTCTCATAGAACAGGTTCCATTGCCTTTAAGAAACACTTTCTTGTTTTCAGAAAAAAAAAAATAACATTTCTAAGAGCACAGGTGCTATGGCCTACAGGAGGCCTTTCCGTATCTCCCTATCTGTACTCCTTCGCTCTTGAAATTACTTTGTATTACTTTGTATTTACTTATCTGTGTACATGTTTGTGTTCCTCCTACAGTAGACTGTAAGCCTCTTGAGGGCAGGGTCATCTCCATTTTTATCCCTGTATCCAGAGCACCTAGAATCATGCCTGTCACATAGTAGAGGTTAGATAAATGTTTGCTGAATCACATACTTTCACTAAGTCAGCTTAGTAGCAATAATATAATTTCTACTTCAAGCTTAGATCCTGGACTTTGATGTGTTATTTGTGAGTAAGACAATGTCACTTATGTTCATTTCAGAGTACCCTGAAGAGAAGAGGCAGCAGGGAAATGCACAAAGAAAAGAAAACATTCAACCAGGTAAGTAAATGCTACATTTTCATTAATTTGAATGAGGAAATCCTTTCACTTCAAATCTTCTTTAAAAGTGTCAACTACCAAAAATTTAAACAGAACCTATCATTTGTCCTTTTGAAGGTTTTAGACTTACTCAAGGTATACTGTAAGTTGAAAATTTTCTTTCCAAACCATAGAGACCAACTCTTTTGTTTCCTTTTATGGCTATAATTAGCCAGTGATTTTATTCATGGAGGAAAAAATACTATTTTGCAACTAAACATCATGGAATTGTAGCTCAAGGCTTGGAAAGACTGAAAATTGGTGTTCAAGTTATGGTTCCTTTGGTTAACAAATATTTTGGCACCAAAAGCAGTTCACACAATCTCTCTACGTCTCCCATAGCTTTATGGGCAATTGTGAATCACTGTCTCAGGCATGGAAGGTGCACTGTGAATTACATTGTTGATTAACAGTGCAGTAAATTAAGGAAACAGAATGATCGTGATCTCAGTCGGCCGTATGTGGATGTGGCCTTAGTTAAACAAATCTTTCTGGTTGTTTTGCTGAATTCCTTTCTTTCTTTTTCCTCTCAGGGGGTTTCCACTCCTGTTGGGTGGTTGGTAGAACAAAAGTGTTACTGAGATATCAACCCACAGAGCTTCAAGAACCAGTAATAATTAGAGAGATGTCATAATTCCACATGAGGTCAATTGTCCACCCCCAGCACTTGATGCCCCCTGAACCTCTTTTCTCTGATTTCCTCCTTCTCCAAACTACTTATCCCCAATGTGTTATTTCAGCAGCCCCAAAGCCTGGCAGAACAACAGGAATGTGGCAGATTTGAAAAATTTCATACGCCCTCTGCCCCCAGAAAACCTGGTTGTGCAGCCAGAGATAATTGTTAAATTAGAATTTAGCTGTAGCCCTGCTGCTGGGACTTAAATATTCATGGACTAGGAACATATTTTCTACTTAGTGCTTCTTTGTGAGGAAAGAGTTTGGTCCTTAAAGGGTAATTACAGCCCATTATGAACAAGACAGAGTCGAGCTTTTCATTCACCTCCTAATGGAGGAGGGAAAGAAAAGATGTGTCACTGCTCTGGAGGGCTCCAAAGCAATGGAAGGGGAATGTTTTTAGCCATGCTCCACCTGACAGTATTATTGAGAAAAGGAGTTTCTATTTAGCAGACTGGAGGAATGGAACGTCTTGGGAACTGCAGGGCAGGAGCCAAAGCACAAAGGAAGCTGGTTCCCCGGCGCAAGGTAGGAGTGTGAGCAATCAGTGCTGCTTGGGGTGCTGGTAGGTGGTGCCATGATGTCAGACTTGCAAGCCAAATAATATATACATCGATTTATATATTGTTGTTGCTTGGCAAGACCTTTTTCAGTTGTTGTTGGTGGTGGTGTGGTGGTGGTGGTGGTTGGTAGTGGTGGTGACGGTGGTGGTCTTGTGTGTGTATCACCCTCCATGCCATGCCTGCATTTTCCTGCCTGTAAAAGGAATAGTTCCATGTGGAAACTTTGATTGGGCCTTCTGCCTTCAGACTGCATTCCTGAAGCATATCTGATGAGCTCTTGAAACCCGAGCCTGGCATTCTTAAGTTTAGGGCACCTGGGAATGACTAGAGACCCAAGCCCTTCCCCCAGAGTCTGGCAGAGTTTGGGAAAGTTCTCCATTACAAGATAAGATGAGTATCCAGACCACCTGCTGCCTCTTACTGAGGTTTTGATTCATGCCTGCTCTCCCCTATTGAATGAATGTCTGTGCAGCAGTCTGGCTATGAACTCCCTTGTTTCCCTTTTCCTCACACATGGACTATAATGAAAGTCATGGCCCTCCCTTTCTGCCATCACACCTGGCGGATTTACTGAATTTAGCAATAAAAGAAAAAAGTTGGCTCCAAGGGATGCCTTTCAGATACATAGAATGCTTAAGGTCTTTTTGTGGACTCCTGCATCGGGTTTGTAAAGACTTTCTGACATGCCTTTCTCTTGAAATAACATGCCTAATGTTTTTAGAAAACCCTTGTTTAAGGAACAGAAAGCAGAAGACATTTAATCATCAAGTAAATGAGGTCCCTTGGTATCCTTTGCAAAAAGCCTCTCTCCCTACCTCCTGTAGTTAAATTCAAGATATGTATTTAATCCAATGTAGGTTTAGGAGGATTGATCTGTTTAACAGTCTTTGGGAGCTTGCAAGTGAAGGAAGGGTCCCAAGGTCAAAATGGTCTGCAGTTGGCCTGAGGATGGGGTTCATAACCTGGAGTTGGTGAACTTTCTTTTTTACACACGAATTTCAATAATTGGTAATTCTATATATTTTACTTTATACATTTAAAAAACATAATTCTGAGAACAGGGTTACATAGGTTTCACCAAGCTTCCAGGCGAGTCCAAGACATAGAAAAGGTTAAGAACCCCTGGCCTAAGGGTTTCAGGTTTCCTTCAGGGAGGTTCGAATTGATCTGCAACTCTTGGAAAGATTCAGAACTTTGGGACAAATGTAGAACTCATTTTGTCCCTGATTTTTAGGATGAGCCTGGCTTGGTGACTTGAGATCTCCTAAGGACTTTCTGGTCAATATCCACAGCCTTCAGGGAATCCTGGGTGGGGCTTTTTAGAGTTATCTCAGAGCTGAGGAGGGTCCATATACACTTAAGTATGTCCTCTCCATTACTCACTCCTCAGCACCATCCTGGGGTAGCAGCATTGGACTGAAAGCTTGAAGACTAAAGGCCTACTCTCATGCCACAGCATGGTGTGAAGGTGGCCCAGATTTCTCAAAGGCTACAGAAGCAAAGCATTAGCTCAAGAAGAGCCTACCAAGTTAAAAAACAAACCAAAAAAGCCTTCTATTATGGGCCCAGCAATAGACCTTATGCTTTGTCTGAGGATTAACCTAATGAACCTCAGAGAAAGACTTATTACCAGAGAACTGGCTCTCAGGTGATAAATTCTTTTGGTTAACAGATATCTATCTGCATCATGTCTAGAGTAACTACCCCAATGAGATCAAAACCTTGAAATATGAAAGTGGTCAGGAAACCTATCCCAGACTGTGTCCCCTGTGAGAATCCCTAATCTTGGCTCCTAGAGTCCATCTTTGGGATGGCTCCAGGGCCTCCCACTGCTACCCTGTAGGGTGTATAGGGCGTGGTACAACTAAGATGTGATACTACTGTGGACACGTACTATTACACGTATCTAGTTAGTGACTTCTGCCTTTGTCCAGACTTCCCACATCATACTAGGTTAAAGTGATGAGGAAAGAATCCTTAGAAGACGTGATATTTAAATACATGAGAATGTGGATGCCCTTGTTTGTAAAGTGGGGGAAATGGAGTGTGGGGTCATTTAAGTAATTTGCCTAAAGTCAGACAGTGACTCGACATGAGTAGTGGAGACATGATGCTTTCCTTGTCTGCCAGATAAAGCTGACTTCTAAACTTTCTTATTTATAAAATCACATAAAGCTCTTCTATATCTATTTCTCTTCACTTCAACTCCTTGACTCGATCTGCAAAATAGAGTCCTTATTTGGGAGTATATATTATAGTCTGTGGTATTTGGTTTACTCACAGTTCTATTTTTAAGAAACTGAAAATAAACACATTTTTGTTTGTTCTACTCAGAAAGCTCTGATACTATTTTGTTTTTTAGAAGTACAATGCATTTTCTCTAGCGGATTGTGACTTAACATTGTGCTTTTATGGTAGGTGTTGAATGGCGATATCATCTAAGCCATTCTATATGATTTATTTTAAAATTTCACTTCTCCCAGAAACACTGATAACATATTTTACCTTTGAATAAGTTATTATCTGGGAATTATTTGATCTTCAGTCACAGAAACTCCTTTCATTTTTTTCCTAACAAATTTAACACTTGGTATGCTAAGCCTGGATAGGTATGTGAAGAACTTTCACCTCTATCTTGAAGAACGTAGTAATAATAATAATAATGAATATCTAACATTTATATATTATGTTAAGGTCTACAAAGTGCTTTACATATATTGACTTATTTGGTCCTCACGGCAACCCTGTGAAGTAAGTGCTATTATTTATTATTCCTCATTTTGTGGATGAGGTAGTGTAGTATAGTAGATAGAGAGATGGCCTTGAAGCCATCTAAGACCTGGGTTCAAGTCTTGACTTTGACATACACTGTGTATTCGATCCTGGGCAAATTTCCGTGCCCTCTGGCAATTCTCTAAAGACTGTAAGTTGCAGAGAAGGTGCTGCCTTGAATTGGCAAGAAGGCATTGTTTCACCTGGGAGTTCTCTATACCAATGAAATCACAAGATCAGTCCCTGTCTTTTGCAGACAAGGAAACTAAGGCTGGGAAGGGTTAAATGAGTTGCCCAGTGTCATCCAGCTAATAAGTATCTGAGACAAAATTTTAACTCAGGTTTTGCTGGATGTAAGTGAAGGGGGTAGACCCTGATATTTTCATTTTTCATACCAATATTACTTCCTCCTCCAGGAAAAAAAAAAGAAAAAAATTCATTTCAAAGAGATGAGGAAGTTATCTAAAAGTGTATGAAAAAGGTGATGATCGCAGTGCTACAATGAGAGAACACACAAATTAGTAGCATGGTCTGCTTTCTGAATGGAGAACAGTTTTATAAGCTGGTCTAGAATTCTTTTCCTTGAGTCTTCTCAGCTATGGGTAGTCAGTTTATTGGGTATGTGTTTTTATTGGTGGAGAGGAAGGAAGGAAAGAGATATATATGTTTTGGTGTCCAACAGAGAATTTATAGCAAAATAATCTTAAGTCTGATTGACCTTATGTCTAGAAGTATATTGTTAACTCTTCTAAGACCATCTGGACATCAGTTAACTAGTCACTTGATGAGTGTTTCCACATCCTACCAATTCCATGAGGGAATTGTCACCTCTCCGGAGGGCCCCCCCCAAATACAGATTATACGCTAGGAGAATGTGGCTTTAAGAAAATCATTTACCTTGGTCTTTCTTGGTATGTGTTGGACTTCACACCTTGTGCTAAGGCTGATGTAGATTTGCCAAGCAAAATGGAGGTAACCTACTACTTCGGCCTTTGTTGCCAAGACAGTCTCCTAAGGTTTTTCATTTTGGGCTAAATAGGAATAATTTGAGAGGACTGGCCATTTCAGTCAGACAAGAAGCATTTATTAAGTTCCTACTATGATGCCAGATGTTATGCTAAGGAATATAAAGAAAGGTAAAAGACAGTCCTTGCCCCCAGGAACCTTGCCCCCAGGAACTCACAGTCTAATGGAGGAGACAACATGCAAACAACTGTGAACAAATAAGATATAGATAGATAGATAGATAGATAGATAGATAGATAGATAGATAGATAGATAGATAGATATAGATAGATTTGTCATTATATCGATATGTGCCAAGTATGACATATTGACAAATTGAAGATTTATCAGAGGGAAGGTACTAGTTTTAAGGTGGATCTAAATAGGCTTCTTATAGATGGTGGGATTTTAGCAGGGACTTGAAGCAAGCCAAAGAGATGGAAATGAGGAGGGAGAGAATTCCAGGCAAGGGGGACATCCAGTGAAAACGCCCAGAATTGGGATATGGTGTGTCTTTTGCAAAGAAAAGCAAGGAGGCTATTTCCTCTTTTCTTGCTGCTGACATCACTGAGTGAGAATTGTAGCTCTGAAATTTTTATTTTATGAGATTAAAGTGGGAGGAGGGGGCAGAATAAAGTCACATAACTCCAGAGCCTTTTGATTTTACTGAAGCCAGCACTCTCAAGAGATCAACTTTCCAGGCTGTCCAAAAGTGTCTCCCCTAGTCAAATCATAACTGGTGGTTGTTTTCTTGCACTGTAGCTAAGTATTTACCCCAGACTAATCCTCCAAAAATCTTCTCAAAGTCTCAAGAGGCATTTTCTAAAGAGCTCCTCATCAGGTTACTGGACACTTAGCTTCTCATCTCTGATTTCTGAGTTGAATTTCCTGCCGTATTCTAGCAACTAAAGGGAAAGGAACCTAACCAAAGAGCTTGATGTTACATATGAATGGTGAAGGTTTGTGAGTAACTCAGGTGTTTAGGTTTGCAGTGAATTTTTTCTACAAACAGTCTAATTCACTCATGTCTTTATTTGGCATTTTGGCTTCCAAAGCATATCCATGCGTACCATCTAATTTGTTATCCTCACTATGTTATTATAACATGAGGTGGGGCAGGCTTTTTTTGTCTATCATATGCAATCAACCAATCAACAAGAGTCTATTAAGCACCTTCCACGTGCCAGGGACTGTGCTATGCACTGGACATAAGGCAAAAGTGAACCAGTCCCTGCTCTCAGGAAACTTACATTATAATTGGGGAAACAATGTGTGCTTATATAAATATATACAGAATCTGTACAAAAAAGAATGTAAAGAAGTTTGGACAGGGGGTGATCAGGAAGGACTTCCAGTATAAGTGAATATTACAGATGGCAAAACTATTGATTAAACATATTAAATAATACAGATGTACTAGTATGGGAGTCCATACAGAAATATTCATCACTACAGCTGTCTCCTAAGACATTTGCTTCTCAGCCAAATAGATGTAATTGATGATGATTTGCAGCCCATTTCTCAGCAAATCAGTACATATCTAGGACAAGATTGTGGGTTGCTTGAATTCCCAGGTCTTAGAGTCTTGGACTCCATTTTGCCTTAGGTCTTCATGGAAATGACTAGTTGTGCCTTGCCACCATTATCTGTGCAATGATAATCTCCAGTTTGCCTTGTTCCAGCGCTATTGAAGTAGTAGCAACCAAAACAGTAACATCAACTGATGCCTGTCCAGTACCAGGTTACAGTAGTGATACAGGCTTCTTCCCATCATTGCTGCTGCTAACTCAGTTAGTTAGATTTATGAATTAATTAGGAGAAAGGAGAATGAGAGGAAGGCTTTGGAGTTCATGGAGCTACAGGTCAATGTTGGGTTTCATTTGTCTTTATTCTCCTTTGCTCATTACCTGTTTGATGTTTATCCATGTGCTTGGTTTTCCCAAACTGACTCCTCTGTTCTGTTTTAGATGGGTGCTTTTGGTGGCATGTTTTTTTTTCTTATGACAAAAAGATAAAGTATATGCTTTTAATGTGTTTACCAGGTGAAACCTTAGGAGTCACCTGTACTTTGCTTGAGTGTCTAGTAGCATGGAAATCATGTGTGTGTGTGTGTGTGTGTGTGCATGTGTGTGTGTGTGTGTGTGTGTGTGTGTGTGTGTGTGTGTCTGTGTGTGTCTGTGTGTGTGCGCGCGCATGCTGGGGGCAAGCTGCAAGGCAGATAAATTATCCCAAACACAGAATTTTGACATTTTAAAATAATTCTTTTTGGGCTGTTCTTTCCTGGCAGGATGACAGTGCTGATTTGAAATGCCAGCTTCAGTTTGCCAAAGAGGAAGCCACCCTGATGCGCAAAAAAATGGCCAAACTCGGGAAAGAGAAAGATGATTTGGAACAGGAACTCCAAAAATACAAGTCTCTTTATGGTGATGTGGACAGCCCACTGCCTACAGGGGAAGCTGGGGGGCCTCCTAGCACCAGGGAGGCAGAACTGAAGCTGAGACTCAAGTTAGTTGAGGAGGAAGCCAACATCCTAGGCCGGAAGATTGTGGAGCTAGAGGTAGAGAACCGTGGCATCAAAGCGGAAATGGAGGACATGAGGTGCCAGTATGAGAAAGAGTGTCTTAGCCGAGACCACATCCCAAGCATTCCTACCTCTCCTTATGGCGACTCTGTGGAATCATCCATGGAGCTGCGCCGTCATCTTCAATTTGTTGAAGAGGAAGCGGATCTGCTCAGGCGATCTATCTCTGAGATTGAAGATCACAATAGGCAGTTGACCCACGAGCTGAACAAGTTCAAGTTTGAACCCAGCCCAGAGTCAGTATGGCCAGATGACAATGTCTGCAAAGGTGGCGGCGGCAGCAGCAGCAGTAGCAGCAGCAGCAGCAGTAGCAGCAGCAGCAGTAGCAGCAGCAGTGGGGGAATGTTGCAGGAAGAGTTGAAGTCGGCTCGGCTGCAGATCAATGAATTGAGTGGAAAAGTCATGAAACTTCAGTATGAAAACCGCGTGCTTCTCTCCAACGTTCAGCGCTATGACCTGGCTTCTCACTTGGGGCTGGAGGAGTCCAGCTCTGGGGAGAGTGAAACTGAGAGTGAGGATGATAAGAAGGAGAGTGACGGAGAAGAGGTTCGACCAGGACAGCCCAGGAGGGAGGGGCCCATCGGGGGTGAGAGTGACTCCGAGGATGTCTGTGAGAAGACCTCAGGCATTGGGAGTGGAAAACCATCCGAGGCCAGTGACTTGTGCTCAGCTGAATTCATGAGGGCCAAACAGGAGACAGAGTCTTTGGTCAAAATAAAGCAGGTAGCAGAGAGGCTGGAGAGGACGGTGGAGCGCCTCATCACTGACACCGACAGCCTGATGTATGATGCCAAACTGCACGTCACCGGTGATGCTTCTCCCGAATCGGGTTTCCAGGGCGAAGGGGAGACAAGCGAAGGGGACAAAAATGAACCTGAATTGTTGGATGCGATCAACTCAAAGATGAAGATCTTTAGGAAGGAGCTCCAGGCTTTTCTGGAAAAGGTAGACCAGGTGAAGGAAGGACTCAAAGAGCACCTGGAAGATCTCTCTCCTCTGCCTCACCTCACAGAGTCTTCTAGCTTCCTCTCCACCATGACCTCCATGTCCCGGGACTCCCCTATTGGTAACTTGGGAAAGGATCTAATCACAGACTTCCAGGTAAGGGGGGTCCTTTGTTTGCCTCCCCACTCTGTTATGCTGTTTCTCCTTCTCGCTGGCATTGCTGTTCTCGAGTTTGTTCTACTCACGGCTGCTTTGTTATGATTTCAAACTTGCTTTTTGCATTAAAGCCTAAAAGATCAACCAAATTCTTCATATTGGTTGGGTTGTTCTGTTTTGTTTTGTTTTTTGGTTTGGTTTCTTTTTGTTTTTCTTTTCTTTCTTTCTTTTTTTTTTTTAACTGCTCAGCCACCTTGGGTTCAGAGGCTCATGATACAAGGCTAAATCCCCTGGAAGCTTATGTAGGGATCAACGTGGTTTTTCCTCTTTTCCTCTTTTTGTTCTCCCACCATCTGCAATCCTGATGAAGAAGCAATGAGGAATGAAAACAAAACACAAACTCATTTTTTTTTGCAGTCAGGATAATTAGCAGACTTACTAACAAACATTTGAATCTTTCTTGGCTTCGTTACCAGAAGGGTCGAAGCACAGCTCTCAAAAGCAATGTGTATCCCAGGCCTGTCCACTCCCACTGGAGGAAAAAAAAGTATTAAATGGGGGGAGAGGAACAAAATTTCTGAGAGGATGGATGTTTTTGAACAATCTTGTTGACGGCTTGCTCCCCGCTCCCCTCCCCTCCCTCTGACCGGGGCACAGTGAGGGAGGAATGTCAGCCAGCAGAGGACTACTTTCCAAGGCATCACCCTCGGGTGCATGGCCAAAACCATCACCCTGGATTGTGGCTTTTGCTTCACAGCGCAAGTAAGGAAGGAAGAGCCTTGTTACCCGTATCCTTCATGACAACTATGCTTGCTGTTGATTCTTTGATTCATGCATCCGCCATTGCATGCGCCTCATAACCGGTGTTTTGCATTCTTTTTTTTCCTCTCTTTCTCTGTTTGCTTTTCAGATGTTTCAGCCCGTCATTTTGCTCATCTTCATTTTGGTTCTGTTCTCTTCACTCTCTTATGCCACTGTGTTTAAGTTGGTTTTTCTATTCACGCTTTTCTTTGTCTTGTAGTTTTTCCAGTTGTCTACCTTTACCCATTTTTGTTTTCTTTATTCCCTCCCCTGCCCTCCTGTTCTTTGTTTATGTTATAAAATGCACATGCACCTAACAGTCCAAACTGAGGGATCAGTTGGAGTGGCAGCCCAGTCAAGACCGTGGAGAGGAGCGAGAGATTCATCGCCTTCGAGCCACTACAGAACCACACCGCAGAGCTGATGGAGACACTAAACTCTACAGGCCAGGAGACAAAGGCTGTTTCAGTCTAGAGGTCAGAGTCACAGCAAGTCTTCCTAACAACATCCCCCTTCCAAACCTCTTTTTCCATCTCATTCCATCTTGCTATGGCAAAGCAAGGGCTAATAAGTTTTGTAGCTTTGGGAAATAAACTAGAAATACAAATGATCAGAGGGGAAATCCATATGTGGATTTGGACCACCAGAGGTGAATACATGTTTCCTTCTACATGCTGATGCATACGTTTAAACAGAATTGACATCACATTCCTCCTTTCCTGTGCCAGACATGGTGTTTTTCAGGTGAAATTAATACCAGTGTGTATAATTTCACTAGTGAAACTCATTCACAAGCATTTCGTTGCTACCTGTAGAATAAGTGAGGAAGCCAGGATGAAAATCAGACCTTGCATTTTCTAAGAGATGCTTCTAAGTACCCTTTTAATGGTAAATTTGGGCGATACAATGAAGGCTGACGAGCAGCATGCCTTCTTAAAGTGACGTGATTAGGGCAGGGCTATGGAAAAAGACATGAATATCCTCTGGACCTTTCAACCCTGCAGCTGTCCCAATAGACCCCATGTGAATGAATCTCTCCACATTATGTGCTTCTGTATCTGTCAAGAAACATTTGCCAACAGCCATGTAAACTAAAACTCCAAGAAGCGAGTAATTCTATCTGGAGATTAAAAAAAATTTTTTTCCCTGAGGGGTCCTGTGAACTTTGGGATTGATATTGCCAGAGGCAAGAAAGCTAGTCAGTGGCATCAGCCCAACCAACAGACCCTAAATGGAAAAGGGATAGTTACATCTCCCAGATTTTGCCAAAGGCTTTAATTATTACTTCCCAAAGGGATGTCAGGATTTCTGTCCCAAGAGCATTAATTGCTGATTCCAAAAGGACTAAGGGGAAGAGGGAAATGGAGGATCTTAATCAGAGAATGCAAATAACTGAAAATCAGCCAGAAGCTGGAAGGCAAATTGTTACTTCCCAAAGTAAAATGAGGGAAGGTGGAGAGCAAAGATCCTTAGGGAAAGTGTTTGTTTCTGTTGAGCTTTTTGGCTAATAATGTTTGGTGGTCCAGTTTTCAGGAGAAGATATGAAGCAGCATGTCTCAAATTGATGTTAAATATTTATAAGTTTAAAGATTTCCATTGTTAGGATTTTTCCTTTTCCCTACAACAGCTCTCTGAGCCCCAGTAAATAATAAAATGTTTAGGGGCAGCTAGGTGGCACAGTGGATAGAGCACAGGCCCTAAAGTCAGGAGGACCATGAGTTCAATTTGGTCTCAGACCAAACACTTGACACTTACTAGCTGTGTGACCCTGGGCAACCACTTAACCCCAATTGCCTAAAATAATAGTAATAATAATAATAATAATAAGTTTATAGGAGGGTGATGACGAAGTGACAATGGCAGTAGCCCACACAAAATCTGGGCTGTTGGAAAGGATTGTTGTCCTAAAATGGACAGGATGGCCATCCAGGAGAAAGATAGATAGGCAAAACATTTATTAGGCACTTACTGTGCATCAGGAGGTATTCTAATCAGATGGGGACCCAAATAAAAGCAAGCAAGATTGTCCCTTCCCTCAAGGGGCTGACATTTTCTTGGGGGAAGATGACAAATGAAGAGGATCTGGGAAGGGTGGAGGAAGATGTGCACTTGGTGGTATGGTGTGAAGATAGCCTGGAAGGAGGACTGCCTGATTCAAAGAAAAGTGGGCTTGGGATTCTCTAGGGCGGCTTGGCCATACCAACAGAAGCAGATCTGAGTCAGCCCCAAGAATAGTCAGGGAACACCGGAAAGCCAAGTGTCTGTCATGGCCAAGTTTCCTCTGCTAACATGCAATGCATTACAATGCACATTGCTTTTCTTTAGCCTTAGCAGACAAGCAAAAACCAAATTGTCATGTGGATACCCCCCAAAACTGCCTGTTAGCTACACATCTCTGAATTTTGCTAGGGAAGGCCCTCAAAAACAAACCATTTCCCCGAATAAGAATTTCTCATTTGTTTTGTGAAACATTTAAACATGGTTTATTTAGCCTTGGAATTGGATACTCATTTAGGTGTATCCTGGCCATAGGGAGTAGGACATTTGGGACTTCTATGCAGTATTCAGGCCCCTGACTCTTCTCATCCTACAACTTTGATCAATCTGTGTTCCAACACAGATTCTTAAGCCAAGAATGACAGTTCCTTAGATTTTGATTTAATAACAAAATCACAGTTGATAAGCATATCTAGTGACTTGATCTCTAAGATTTCTTCAAGCTCTAATATTCTATGACTTTTGAGTCCTGATAAATCTTTAGTGAATCATTAGGTGGAATTAAATAGAAGGTATCTTTCCCAATTTTAAATCAGAACTGCATCCCCAATCTATCTCAGAGTGGAACTTTTACTGCTATTAAAAACCTCCAGGCTCCTCAGGGCAAGGTAATTAGCTTTTTATTTTTATTTTATTGTTTGGTCCAGACATGTGATTGCATGGATTATGGAGAACTCCCAGGTTGAAAACTCCTTCACCAATTCAGATGGACCTTTATTTTCTTAGATAGTTGCTAGCATGGGGAGGGGAGAGCTGGGAAGGGAGAATTGAGAAATTATGCAACTTGCCCATGATCATATGGCCAGTGTGTGTGAGAGGCAGGATGTACATCCAGATCTTCCTGGCTCCAAGGTCAGCCCTCTGCCAGCTATGCCCTGCTGCCCTTTGTCAGATTTCCCCTGCCAAATTTAATCCCTTTGTACTTTCTTCTTTTCCTCCTCACTTCTAAATTCTTCCTCATGACCTATCACAAAGATCAGAGCTATAACTGGGTTTAATCACAAATCTGAGGTGGGTAGCCACAGTCAACTATTTATTGTTATTTTCACAGCTTCCTTGCTAATGGATTTATTTGAAACCACTCCATATATAGAATAGCGTTTCTCTTCCCTTGCCCACTTCTTTACCAAATTCTAATCTGACAGTATGGCTAAAGATCCCTTCTTCTGTTTTCCTCCTCTAAGTCTATATGGCAATAGCTATTGACCACTAGTCCAATACTAGTAACTTTTATTGCGTATAGTATCTATCTATCTATCTATCTATCTATCTATGAACTGGAGCAGCTAGATGGTGCAGTGGATAGAGCACCAGCCGTGGAGTCAGGAAGACCTGAGTTCAAATCTGGCCTCAGACACATAACACTCACTAGCTGTGTGACCCTGGGCAAGTTACTTAACCCAACTGCCTCATAAAAATAATAATAATAATAAGATATATCAACTCAAAGTACTTAGAAACCCATAGGGTTTGAGAAAGGAGATGGGGAAAACCTATTTGAATCAGCTTAGTTATCCCTAATATAATAAGCAAATAATTTAAGCCAAGTAGGTCCAGAAGGACATGGGCAACATATCTCTCAGGGAACTAATTGAACATCTGGTTGCCTCACCATTCTGGCATCAATACTTCTTATAAACAGCTGTCTCAGGTCATGGTTATAGTGTGCCTTAACTAGAGAATCAGAGATCCTAGGGACATTCAAGGTCCAGAAATACCACATTTTCCAGAAAGAAGGGTATGATTTTAGATAGGGGCAGGCCAGTATCCTTACTCTCCCTGACTTTCTTATGCCATATGTGTACATAAAAAACTGAGAATATCTGAAGAATGTAAATGATAGGTTGAAAAATAGAAACTTAATTTTATATGTGTTAAAATTCCTTACTGCTCTCACCCTCCTAGTAGAAGCTCTATATTCTTAGTGGGGAGACAGCCAAGTACAACGAGTTAGGAGTCATAAGATCTGAATTCAAATCCTATTTCTGCTACTTCCCACTTGTGTGAACTTAGGCAAATCTAAGGTCACACAATTTCTCTGGGCCTCAGTTTCTGTCCTGTAAAATGAGGAGGTTGGATAAGACAACATTTGAGGTCCCACCTGCTCTAGGACTATGATCTAATGACCCACCTTCAACTAGCAAACATTTATGAAGCATTTCCTATGTTCCAAACTCTATACTAAGTCCTAGAGACACAAAAGAAAGGCTAGAAGAAGTTTAGAAACAAATCCTACACTAAAAGCTTATATTCTAATGAAAAAAGACAACATGCAACCAAATAAGCCCCTATGAGACAGATAGGTAAATAGATAGATGAGTATATCTGTATGTATAATATATATAAACACACACTCGTGTATATACATATATATTTACACACATATATACACATGTATATATATAGATAGATATACACACACACTGATGTTTATACCTATGTATGTATTTATATATACACTATATACATATATGTATATGTGTTTATTATATACACATATATGTATATATATACATACACACAGACACACACATATACGTGTGTGTGTATGTGTATGTATACATATGTGTGTATATGTATGTGTGTGTGTGTGATGAAATGAAGGTGTCCTTAGAGGAGAAAGCTATTAAATGCCACTGACAGTATTATTAGCTACTGTTTGTATGCCAAAATGTGGTTGGGAGTTGTACATAGTTGAATATTAGAAAGTGTTTTAAGACCCAAACTTTGCTTGGTTCCAAATATATATTGACTAAAATCTCTGGAAGTGATTGTATCTTCTTTGGAGAATGATTGCTCTTGTTTATACTGTAATAGAAATAGGGAATAAATGGAACTGTCAGATAAATATGCTGAAAAATAAGAGATTATCACAATCACCACCATGTGTAGTCCAACCTCTCCAAGATTACAGTGACAATTGGGGAACAAAGGCCAATCTTTACATTCAGCACCTAGAAGATAGGCTGCAAAGAAGCTATTTGTAAAGTCTGGAATTTTCTTGACTGTATCTGACGCTGCATCTAAACTGTCAAGGTCTGTCTTAAGCCAACCACTGGCGTGAGTATGTGAGTTTGATTTAGTGTTTTGTCCTTAATTCCCATATGTCAGTTCTCGTCCACGGCGCTCTTTGCTCAGCCAAGCAAAACAGCTTTCCAAGTCTTATTATTGGTTTCTCTAATTCTATTCGTTACGTACCTTCTGTATTCATTTCCTCAGAGAGAGGAGAGGTGGAGATGAGAGGGTTTAGTTAGCCTTTAATTCAAGAGAAAAGAAGAGTTTCTAGTTTTGTATTATGTGAGTATTCTAACTGGGTGAGAAGAAGAATGTTGTATTCTCAGTCTTAAAATAATGACGATTTTGTATATATTTTACTTATATATACATATAGGGAGGAGAGACAGAGAGAGAGAAGGGAGGGAGGGAGGGAGATGGAGACAAGGGGATGGAGACAGGAGAGGAGAAAGAGATAAGGAGGGGCAACATGGCTGCAGCAAATAAGACCTGGGTTCAAGTCCTGCCTTCAACTCAGATACTCAGATTGGCTTATGACCTTGAGGATCCTAGACAAATCATTTAACCCTTTGGTGCTCTAGTTCAGTGGTATCTAACTCAAATAGAAATGTTAGTATATAATGATCTCCACAGACCACAAAGTGACTTGGAAAACCACATATAACATTAATATCTATTTTCTATTATATTTTTACTTATTTTGTAAAATGTTTCCCAGTTACATTTTAATCCTGCAGTCTGTGAATTTGGCACTTCTGCTTTAGGTGATTCTCTAGAATTATCTATTTCAGAAAAGGGGCATTGACTTGTGATTGGTAAAAGGAATTTCCTCACTTGGATGTTTCTCATACCAGTGAAATCACAGGTCTACTCCATTTACATATACATTTATATGTATTTATAAGTACATTTATGTGTATCATTGTAAAAGTTTTGCAACTCTGAATTTGATTACCTAAAAAGAAAAAACATATATTCACAGTCATCTTACAAACAAAAAGGAAACACCCTAGTGCCATGAATGCAACATGGATTTGGACTCAGAAGACCTAAGTTCAAGGCCCCTCTATTGCTCAGAGCCTGTATGATTTTGATCAAATTATTTAAACTTGCTGAGCCTCAGTTTCCTCATCTGTAAAATGAATCAATTGGAATATCAACTTCTTATAAGGTCCTTTCTAGCCCTAAATCTATGAGACTGTAAACACCATCACTTACTTTATCTTGTTAGATTGACCAAAGAAAGCAGAATTTAGACACATTCACACACAAGTTGTTACCAACTAGAAGTGATTTTATAAAACTCATATCAGAATGAACTGATCCAAAAAGCCAGGATTTATAATGGCAGACATTTGTGTCTGCCCATGTATCTCACTTGGCACTGGCATGTTTTTCATGCTGTGGGTTAAATTCATCTCTTAGCAATGCTCCTGTTTGCACTCATTAAGTTGTCTGGAAGATTTACATGTATAAGTGGAAAGAAGCTCACTCTTTCCTGTATATATCGTATGTAGTTTGGAATGTGATGGGTACCTTAAAAATAGCTCTGAAAGAGAAGCCACTACCCATGTGCAGCAGTCACATTTCAAACATAAGTGAGTCCAGCCATTGCCCAAAGGCAGTGGTCAGGTTTCAAAGTCAGAATTCTCACACAGCTCTTTACTTTAGCCTTTCTTTTTTTCTTTCAATCATGAGAGTACACAGAGCATCTGAAATCCTTCCTTCCTGAACTGAGAAACGTTAACTGAAATAAAAAGAGATGAAGATTTCATACTATGCATTTATACACACCACTGATATCATCCACTGCATTTGAAAGCGATGATCACAAAATTGGCCCTGGCCAATGGGACTCATCCCCAAAAGCAGTGATAGTAACCCGCTTCATTAGGCATGGCTGCAATGCAAAGCATTAGTTTTTGGCTTGTCAAGATTGGAAAGGTAGAAGATAATTTATAAACCACCTGTCCTCAGGATGTTTGGGAGTCAGGGTAAATAAACCATAGTAAGAAACACAATGAGTCCTCTGTGGAGTGGGAATAGAGCTATGTGCTCTTAATCAACTAACAAAGGTAAAGAGGATTATACTATACCGAGGAATGAGTTTTGACAGCATATAATGTGAATAATGACCGTATCATGTTTAAATGACTTGTTCTGAGAAAGCGATCAAAATGAATTTGTTTGTTCTAAAATCAAAGCATCTAATAAAGCATTTTGAAATGGTTTTTATTTTCAAAATTGTGGTGAGTGACCAAGCGAGTAAGAATTGAAACTGAGTGGGGGAGGGGACTGGAAGCACGAAACATGTTACATGTTCCTCCATATCCTTGTGAATGTTCTGCAGTCTTGTGGCCAGAGAATGATTCTAAGCTGCAATTGGTGTTGTATTGCGTTTCTGTTTTATATCTATGAGCATATCATCTTAAGTAACACTGGAGTGACATTTGGCATACTGATTGAAGAGCAGCTGGCCAGATTGGTTTAATATTTCATATATAGTAAAACTGTAATGGAAGAAAATATAGTTGCATATTGTTATTACTACCTCAATATACTTGGTCCAATAAGATAGGATAAAACTTGCAACCAAAAAGTAGGAGACAATGTCATTGTATCAGATTAATAATCTAATCCAAGTATGTTTCTATGAATTATGTGTGGCCCTCATAGCTGTGTGTTAGAACAGAAGTATCCATTTTAAGTCAAATTGATCATCAATGAGGCCCTTATCCTTGTTTCAAGTAAAAGTCTTTATATTCTTTAACATTCTTTGTTCAAGTTAAATACTCTAGGTTTAGACCAAAACTAAGTATACTGGTCAAGAAGTGTAGAAACTGAACTTGTATTTTTCTGTCAGGTTTTCTAATATACATACACATATGGTGCCATTTTTGCCACCAAAGTGACATTTTAGCACACACTCTAGTACAAATGTTTTGTAACCTGATTTATTTAAAGATGGTGGAAGATATTTTTAAAATGTTAAATTCTACGCTTATTAAGTGTATAGTGTATACAGTTTGATAGAGATAAATTCAATGAGAAAAACACTCCAATTCAGTATCTGGATAGAAAAACAAGTTAATTTTTTTTCTGAATCTGAACTTTTTGTGATAACGGTAACAACCTCATGTTAAAAGATCAGAGAATGGTCAAATAAATGTTCTCATAGGCACACCACATTACAGGTAACATCCTGTCAGGAAATGTAAATGTTACATTCACTAGAAAATGAATTGGTTAAAAGATCACAAACAACATGCAATGGCAACATTTTTGTTACAGTAGATTACTCTAATTCTCTGATTAGTTAATGATTCAAAATTATTTTCTCAGATGACATGTCATTCTGGAGAAAAAGTGATAAAGATTTTTTTTATTCTGCTGTCACTGTTTTCATTTCTCAAAACACATAACATTTTAAATTAAAGCCATAGACCCTTTAACACTTGAATGTAAAAGATGGTCAATCTTAATTGAACAAAAAAAGAGCATTATATCTTTTCACAGCCTTCTCTAATCTCAAATTGACTAATTTGATGTTTGTTATATTCCTCTTCTGAAGCAGCTCCTTTACCTGTATATGGGCCTTGAACAAATAATAATAACTGACATTTATAATGAACTTTAAAGCTTACCAGCCATTTTATAGATTATCTCATTTAGGTCTCATTACAATAGTGAAGTACTATTACCCTCACTATGGAAGAGGAAACTGATTCTCAGACAACATAGGTCACATTGTTGATGAAGTCTCAGAAATAGGATTTGAAACCAGGTCTTCCTGACTATTCTATCTAACACTCTATCCAGAAAGAAACCAAAATAGAACACTTGTGTAAGTCCAAGTCAGAATGGAAAATTAAAAACATTCAAAGTGACATGGAAGTCCAAATTAAAAATACCTTCTTTGATGTACATAGGTTGATTCTCATATGAAAAAAGTAGGGCCATATTAGATATGTGATTTTAAAAGACACTTTAAAAAGGTTGGCATATTTGCCAAAAAGACAATCATTAGTAAGAAATAGTTGAACATGGGTTAACCACAATGACTGAGCCTTGGATTTCCCCACAGTCTTTTTCTAATTGTCAGTTATGGTAGCAGATAGGGATTTCTACAGAAAACAAGATTTTGTATCAGAAAGTTTTTAAGTTGTTCAAATGAAGCATGACCTCCTACCTACCTTCTTATACAGACATCATTAAAAATAGGTGTATTTTTGTGTTTTCTTTCATCATAGTGGACTTTTCTGTTCAGATCATGCAGTTAGTTTTGAAAAGTGTGTGGTAAGATCTGATGCTTTATTCTTCCTCCCCATGAAATTCTACCCTGCTCACTCCATTGCTACAGACCCATGTGTACATACGCTGTGTACTTCTCACTGCCCATGACTGTGACTTGTGTACATGTCTCCCCCACACATTTTTCACCTCAGTCAGAATTCACCTCTCTACTAAACCTGTCCCTTTATCCTGCTGATCAGCTCAGGGATACCCCTGTCTTACCTGTCCAGAATGTATCGATACAGGAGCTCCAGGCTCAGCTTGAGCAGGAGACCAGACTTCACCAAGAGGATCAAGAAAAATTTAAAGCAAAGATCATCCAGGTAACTACATAAGCCAGACTTAACTGGAACTGCTAATTTGTCTGGAGTCTTCATGCTGTGAACCCTAATATTCTTTCCCATCAGGAACAATGACGAGGTACAGTGGAAAGAACACTGGGTCTAGAATTAGAGAACTGGATTCATATCTTGCCTCTGACACTTGTGTGTGACCTTAGACAAGTCACTTAACTTCTTTAGGCCTCCCTAAATTGAATAGGTTGTATTAAATGGCCTCTTAAGCCCTTCTCATCCTAGTTCTATGATCCTCTGAACTAGGTCTTAAAGGAAGATACAATGGTCATATTCCCCAAACCGTAAATTGACACATGTAATCTCACAAGAGATATGTCTTTTGCAAATTGTCTTTAAAAGTATGTTCTCTTTTCCCAAAATCAGGACTGTCCCAGAAAACCCAACATGGCCAGCATAAAAGTGGATCATAGACTCTCAACCCCAGAAAAGATATCAGAAGGTCATGCAATAACCCTGCAATATTTGTTATCCCAGAAAGAGAGCACCTGATTCCTTGGCCTTCTTTTTTAGTACTGTATCCTGGCATCTTATAACCTTTAGAATCAACAAGTTTTTCCCTAATGCGTGATCAAGATCTATCCCATTGTAATTTCAATGAATAAAGTCATGGAGGCCCATTTGAACATGAACCATTGGTATTTCTATATCTTTTGAGAGTACAGTTACTAGTCCTGGTTGTACCAGATAAGGTGCCAACCACAGTGATGGTCTTACCCTGAAATATTGTCTGCAGAAAATAATCATGAGTTCAGTTATCTCTTACTTAATTCTTCTAGCTAGTACAGAACCAGCTGATACCAGCTAATTACCCCCTTATCCCTCGAATCCTTTCCCAGGTTTCCTGGTGGAAGAGAAACACAGATAAAGGCAAACCTTGCCTCCAGGCTCCCCTGCAGAACATCCAATCCCCTTCAGGCCTGTATCTAATTAAGTTATAAACACCAAATAAGGCTTAGAATAGCTTCTTTTAAAAAAAACCACATGTACACATTCTTAATGATATGAATATCCTTGAGAAACAACTGGTCTCACTTTCATGAGCTTTGTAAATTGTACAGATCATGTATAAAATCATGTTTCCAACTTCTTGAAAAATGTCTTTTTTTGCAGGGATTGGCTATCATTATTCATAAGCCTCCATCTTTTTGGAGTTCCTTATATCCTTAGAAGCTTATGCATTGAAAATCGTCTCTCTGGATATAAGAGTCTTAGAGAAGTTTGTGCCTGTACTGACCCAGCGGAACCACTAGTAGTCTTATATTGCCAGAAGGAAAGGACCCATATCTACAAATGTTTATAATAGCACTTTTTGTTGTAGCAAAGAACTGGAAGCATAAGGGATGCCCATCAACTGGGGGAATAGCCAAACAAATTGTGATATACATAATGTAATGGAATATTAAAGTGGTTTGCTTGAATTGAAGGTCAGAATTTGCATTTCATTATTCTAGAAAAATAAAGGCTTTGCATGTTACATGGAAAATCAGAGTTTGAGTTGTTTGGGGTTTTTGTTTTGTTTTGTTGTAGGTATCCACATTCCTATTTTCTATATAGCACCAAGATCATGATTGAAAAAGGGAGTTTCATGTTGTAAAGAGAGGGGTTGTCTGTAGTATTTTGCAACTCAGCATTATAGCTCAAAGCAGTGGAACAGGGAAAGAGTGAGATGAATGAGACAGGGAGCAGAAGGGTCATATACTCAAATCACTAGCTATGATGATTTTATGTGCAGAGTGAGAAGCTGAGTGTTCCTCAATCCACACAGAGATCCAAAGACTGAGCTTTAGGAAACATCCATAGCTAGTTGTGAGAAGAGGGAAAAGCAGCCAATGAAGAAGATAGATAGAATCTTCAGAAAGAAATATAGGGGGAATACTAGGATAATATAATATTATGGAAGCCAAGAAAGGGGTTTCAAGAAGGATGTGACGGATAATGGCATCAGTTAGTCAAAGAGGATGGGACTCCCTACTCTGGGCTTTATCTAGAGCAACTATTCACTCTGTCTCCTAATTATGCCCGTGGATAATAGTAATATGGGACAGCGCAGAGATCATTTTAAATAGGTAACACCTGGTATTAGAGCGTCCCACCATTCTTCATGGTGGAGGTTTCTCATTCAAATAAAATTAAACCAACTTATGCCTCATGGCTCATTCTTTGGTGTTGAATGTGATGATGAATAAAATCTCCATCACTGCCATTATTTGTATTGGCTTGTAAGAGCTGACATTATGATAATAGACTTGAAAATATTTGGGGAAAATGATACGATATTCTCATCATTATTACGGATGCCACTAGAGTCCTGACTGGATACCATGACAAAATATTAAAAGTGTAATTATATAATGGCACATTTTAGAGATTACTTTGGCATTGAAGCTAAGTTGCATGACCTGTTCTAGTTTCCTGTGGCACATCAGGTCATGTTGAAACCTTAAAAGAGGCAATCACTTTAGTAAAACAATTTAAGTGCCTTTATTTTTTTCTCCCAAATCCCATTTCCTTGGTCTTAGAATTGTTTACCCTTGGAAAAGAATATTTGGATTGGGATTCACACCAGACATATATCTGTGCAATGAATCAAAATGCCCTCAGCCATTAACTGTGGGTTGCAATATTCTGATATTCATAGACATCAACTTGATCTTCCTTGTGAAAAAGACAGAATGAGACTTCCCACCTGCATCTTCGGCTGTTATGCCATTATATAACAGGTGTTCAGTAAATATTTTTTAAAGGAAAGTCATGCATAGAGTTTGACTTGGGTGTACCAACATATCCTGCAGGACTATTCCTACTGGCCCTTGCCCTGAGGGAATATAACTCCACAGTGTGCTGGCACATTTGGTCCACTGTTCCATGTATATTTAGGCCATTCGAATCTGGGGAGGGAAGCAAAAAAAAGCTTACACAGGTCAAAGATACAAGACTAATGTAGAGATTGAAAAGTTTTGATTCTGACCAGGGCAATTATTTCTCCAAGAGGTATGCTAATATGAAGTACATGGTAAGAATGGGATATTTATTTATTTATTTTTACTTTTCAGGATTCAATTCCATAAGATTTTGAGTTCCAAATTTTCTCCCTCTCCCCTCCCCAAGATGGCATACAATCTGATATAGGCTATACATCTACTTCATGTTACACATACTTTCACATTAGTCATACTGTAAAGAAGAAATAGAACTAATGGGAGAAGTTACAAGAAAGAAAGAAAAAAAAAGCAAAAGTATGCTTTGATCTGCATTCAGACTCCATAGTTCTTTTTCTGGATGTGGATAGCATTTTCCATCATGAGTCTTTTGGAGTTGTCTTAGATCCTTGCATTGCTGAGAAGATCTAAGTCTATCAGTTAGTCATTGTGCAATGTTGCTGTTATTGTGTATAATGTTCTCCTGGTTCTGTTCACTTCACTTAGCATCAGTTCATGTAAGTCTCTCCAGGTTTTTCTGAAGTCTTCCTGCTCATCATTTCTTATGGAACAATAGTATTCCATTACATGCATATACCACAACTTGTTCAGCCATTCCCCAATTGATGGGCATCCCCTCAATTTCCAATTCTTGGCCGCCACAAAAAGATCTGCTATAGATATTTTTGTACCTGTGGGTCCTTTTCAAGGATGGAATTTTTATGGTACCATATTATTAAAGTAATTTAATTTTGTGCTTTCCTTTATCTGTAAGAGTGTATTCAACAGAGGGAAAGATTCGTCATCACTTTAAGAGACGTAGTTTTGTCTACACTGGTAACTACACAAATTATTTCTTGCTTAGGTTGTTTCCTTTCTAGTTAGGCCTGGGTAGGAGGTAAAGGGGAAATCTTTTTCTACCCTAGGATTATTAGGGCCTGCGTGGTGCCTTTACACACTCAAATGACATACCTCTCTTGCCAAGAGGAAATTGGGTTTGACATTTTAGGCAACTCCAGCTGACATGGTCAGAGAATATTTGCCCTGGCAAGGTTTGGAAGTCTTGGAGAACATTCTGAAAGGATCTGAGTAATACTAGTAATATCGTTGCTTTGTGTTTGAATAGTACTTACCCCGATGATTGAAGAAACTTATGAAATATAATCGACTTCTTATCAGAGGTTGATTTGTGCAGTGAAACACAGGGACTCAAGATTTTTTGGTGTTTCAAGGCTCTGGGAAAGTAGCGCCTTTGCCAGGTATCGGGATATAAGTTGCACTTCGTTGGGATTTGGTCTATTTGGGCAAATTGTGTTCCTTCCAGGACTGGCAGCCTTTCTATACTCTCTCATTTGTATTGTTCAAGATGGAGCAGGAGCACCTGTATGCCTTGCGCCGGAAGGAGCTAGAAGTCCAGAGCCTGTCCTTGCAGAACACCCTAGAGCGGAGGACATGGGAGGAAGAGAAGAACTTGTTGCAGCAGGATCTCCGTCACTTCAGGCAGAACACTTTCCTCTTCTATGTCAAGCTCAAATGGCTTCTGAAACACTGGAGGCGGGGCAAGAAAGGAGAGGAGGAAACAGAGGATTTCATGGAGGTACTCACTCCTCTCTCTCTCGGGGAATGGCAGCACTGACCTGAGGCAGGCGGGCCACCTCCAGAGGCCAGAATGCAGAAAGAGTACCTGGCACAATGGGAGAAGGGGAAGGGAGACTCTAGATCCTGGCACTGGGCTCACAAAGGCAGTGTCTAATGGGAAGAAATTGAAATTATAATTCTCAACCTGAATCCCTTTATACTTCTAATATTCTTAGAGGCTGAAACTGGAAAGAACCTAACAAGTCACCAAGATGGTCTGTTCCCCTGAAAATGAACCTTATCACCTTTTTAGAGGCATGGCATGGGTTGTGTTTGGCTTTTTTATCTTTCTGTTGTTATTTTGTTCCTTATGGGGGTTTGTCTGAATATTGAGATGGAAAGGCTATGCAATGTTAGAAAATAATGTGGGCAGAAGAGAGAGAGAGAGAAAGTGGCTCCCTTTCCTCCCAAGAAGAATGTATTTTTTAAAAAAAAGACTTCAACTAACTCTGTTTTCAGGGACCAAGGGCATAGATGCTTACGGATAATTAAAAGCCCCAGACTGTTAAAAAAAAAAGTTCATGTTAACTAATAAATTCAGCCTCTTCATCCTGTATTTTTTTCAAATAATAACTCTGTGAGAGAAAAAAAAAGTGACTGATCAGAAAGGCTTTTCTATCACTAACCCTGCCTGTTCTCTGAAGGAAGTACTAATCTCCAGAATGTGTGTAACCAAGGCCTGAGAAGCCAACGACTTTAATTTCCAAAGTGGAATACTGTCCCCAAATAATCAAAGGTGGGCTGGAGAAAAATGGGGAGGCTCTGTTATTGTTAAAAGTGGGCACTGTAGGTACAATGTATTGCTACTTTTAGATGGAGCATCCTGAGACTTTACCAGGACTTGGAGTTCATTCTGAACAAAAAGATGAGGATGATGAAGAGAGAGGAGTTGGGTCCCCAATGGAGTATTATTCCCAAAATTCCAGCATGGAAATTGATGACGATGAACCGGAGCTACAAACTGCAGAGATACTGCAGCACCAAAAGCAGGTATGCAGGGTACCCTGGGCACCAAATATTTTTAACTCTAACATCGAGTAGAATTCTCCCATTCCACAGCCTCCAACAACAAGTCAATATCATGGCATCTGCCTATAACACCACTACCTTGAACAGTAAAACAATAGAATCCCAGAGTATGAAAAAACTTCAGCTCATCCATTTCAGCTGCCTGGTAGATGGATGAATGTTCCTTCTAGTAACCTTGAAAGCAGACAACCAGCCTCTGTTTGAATACCTCTGGTTATCTTGTAAATGGTCCATTCCATTTGAGGATGACTTTAATTATTGGAAAATTCCAGGAAAGGCAGCTGCTCATGGAAAAGTGGCATTGATGTTGGACTTGTAGTTAGAAGATGTGGGTTCAGTCTCTGTTGGGGCATTTCCTGCATGACCTTGGGCAAGTTACACCCTCTCTGAGACTCAGTTTGCTTATCTGTCAAATGAAGGTAACAATATTTATACTACCTACCTCCCAGGGCTCTTATAAGGCACATACTTGATAAACTTTAAACCTCTGCTCTTATGGCGACCTGTTATTATACAATATTTATGCTGAATCACATCATTATCACTGCCCTTTCTTTGTGTGGGCTGGTTAGTTTGTTTACTTACTACATGGTGCCTTTGAGGAAAAACAAGCATTTCTGTAGGGCCTATTCTGTTCAAGCCTCTACGCTAAGCGCGAATATGATCTTATTTGATCCTCACAACAACCCATGTGAGGCAAGCGCTATCATTACCCTCATTTTACAATTGAGGAAACTGAGGCAGACAGCAGTTAAGTGACTTGCCCAGGGTCACATTGCAAGTAAGTATCCGAGGCCAGATTTGAACTCAGACCTTTCTGATTCCAGGTTCAGCCTCTGTATCCACTGCACCACCTAGCTGCCTCCATGTTCTTTGAGGCCAAGTACATGGGTTGGAGGCCAGTGAAATGGTCTGGCTTCCCTAGTCACACACTCCCTCCATGAAACTGGTCAGCTGCCTTAGAAATGTGTACTCTTGTTCTCAATAGGAGCTGAGGAAAGAGAATTGATTGCCCAGTGCAAAGTTATCACCACTACTGGAAAAAAAAATCATTTAAGATACATGTGCTACTGACGAAGAGTCAGGGGATCATACAGGGCTGTCATTTTGGCAAGCTGGCAAGTGTGAATTTCACTTCTGGAGATGGTACTTGGCCCAGACGTACATAACCCCCGGCATCTGATAACCATCTGACTTAGCATTAACAGCATCATTGCATGGGATTCTGACCAAATGAGAAAAAAAAGATACAGAAGGAAAAAATATGCCCAAACATGTAAAAAACACTTCAGGTTTTCCTTTGGGCCATCTGAAAAGTCATGCCAAAAATACAAATCTTTGATATGAGGCGTTTGTTTTCATTAAAGCCAGCATAAAGAACAGTGTGATTTTAATTTTGTAATTTTAAAATAATTACCAATGCTGCCAAATACCATAAAAATATAACACAGCAGACCCAAACTAACACTCTAAATTGTGCCATTGGTACCATATGGACTCTGGAATAGAAATGTAGTATCTAGAAGACACCTCAAGTATTCAAAGTAAAACTGGTTATTCACTCAATACCAACCCTTTAATAAGGTCTTTTTTTTTTTCCTGGTCTTCTTTATCCCTGTTTTCTTTGTCCACTTCTCAATAGACCCAACAAAGTTTCAACTTATCTAGAGACCAGAGATTTCTGTGTTCTGGGCTGGGCTGGACCGGGTGAATATTGATGGATGTGGTCACCTTGGGCCTGAGTCCAACCCCACAGTTTCCAAGATTTACTGGGCACTCCCTGTGTATATGACACTGTAACAGCTGCCTCTAACTCCAGCCCCCACTCAGCAGGGAACCTCCTTGAGTTAGGGGAGTAAGGAGTTTGCCATCAGACACTTGACTTCTTGCCAATTGAGGAGTGGGGGGAAAGGCAAGATTCTTGGCCCCAGTAAAGAAGTACATTTTTGTTTGGCTTCTTTGCCTCCCAAATGCTTTTCCCTCCCCCACTGCAGAAATCCATTTTCTACAACACAATAGCTGTTTTCTATAAATACTTAGCTGAATTTAATGCCAAAATTGTTTGACTCAAAAAATAAAACATTTAGTTAAAAGGGTAAAATAAAATATACATAAAATAGAAGATACGTCACAATGTTGATATCCACGGAGAGGTTTTAGGTCAGGAAATTATTTTTCCAGCCGTGATCTAGTTAAGCAATGACATGTTACTCTATTTGCTAATAATATTTTGCTATCTGCTAATATTTTCCATTCTTTTCTTTCTTTTTTTGTGATATGATGAAATGCAAGGGTCTCTGAATAATGAGTTTGTTCACCCAAGTAGCAATTTTTTAAATGACTGCTAAGGCATTAGCCTGCTGCATTTCAGAATGTGATGGTTGCTCCTCTGGGTCACATTCAGATCTGTTTGGTAAGAAGAAATAGAGAAATGAACCAGCTTAGGTTTCCACACAATAGCCATAAAAAAAATAGAAAGATGCAAAAATTGGGCAGTAATAACTTTACCACAACAGCATATTTAATATCCCCTTCATCTTCCTTCACCTAGACCTAAATAATCCCCTTTTCTCCGAATAGTCAGACATATGTGGGTCTGCTGCACATGGTATGTGATGAAGATGCAGGTGTGTTTAGTAGGATGGGATCCATTAAGTACAACTTAAATTTTAATGGTGAAGGCTTATGATAGTGTCATCTAAACCAGAGGTGAGATTGGCTTGGCTTAGTTGCTCATGTGCACATGACATCATTAACGTGGCTTTGAAGGAAATAGATATATGAAATCTACTGTAAGCAACAGCTGTTTGGATGAGAACATTCTCAGCTATGAGGCTTGCCTCTTGCTCAGATGAACACTATTATTAGCCAGGGAACATTTATACAGAGATTTGTGTTCAGTAGAACATTTAAAGCTTATGGGCAGATGGGGCCTTCTTTGGCCATAGTAACTGGAAAAGCAGTCAAGAAGATATGCAGAATAGTGAAATGGGGCTGAGCTTCATGTCTGCACTTTGATTTTTGTTTTGCCTCACCTTTGGAATTCTCACAGTTGGTTATAAGAGATGGCAGCATTTGTCACATCTTTGAAGGGCCAGAAATTTCATATTTTACACAAATTACTGTATACATGACCCAGTAAGCACATAATAAATGTCCTATCTATCAATCTTTCAGTCTAACTTAAGGAAGCCTTGGAAGTAGTTTTGAATAATCGTTACATGTCAAAAAGTTTTACCTTCTTTTTAAATGAAACCTGGTTCTGCCTATTGAGTACCTGCATGGCTTGAGGCAAGTCATTTTACATCTCTCTGGGCCTCACTTTCCTTATTTATAAAATGCCGTGTTTGGAGTAGAGGATCCCTAAGATTCCTTCTGATCCCTAATCTTTTGATCCTATTATTCTATATACCTGTACCACTTCAGCACTGCTTCCTACCACCTTTTCCCATTGCAATAGGTTATGGAAATAGCTTAGTGCTGAGGACATTGCTCTGCACACAATAACTGCTTAATAAATATTTTTCCATTCCATTCCATTTTTATTCCCAGTATAAGTATGTCTTAAGCAGGCACAGACAAGTTTCTCCAGCAACATCAGTGCACATAAAAACCAAATGAAAAGCTATTAGAAAGGAGAAACAAAAGTATTATGTAATTCTTAGTAAGCTATTTGACATCTGACATTACTTTAAAGTCTTGCCCATTCATTCACTCACCCCTATCAAATATTGTTTCTGACATTTAGGAACCCTGGTGCCAGGTAAATAGTAGTACCATGTGAAATGAATGGCTAGGCACCCTGAAAATGTTGTTATTCCGTCATGTCTGACTCTTTGTGATTCCATATGGCGCTTTCCTGACAAAGACACTGGAGTGGTTTGCCATTTCCTTTTCCAACTGATTTTACAGATGAGGAAACTGAGGCAAACTGGGTTAAGTGACTTGCCCAGGGTCACACAGCTATTAGGTGTCTCAGGCTGGAACTGAACTCAGGCCATCCTGATTCCAAGCCTGGTGCTCTAACCACTTTGCCACCTAGCGGTCCATATTCCTGCAGATGTGCTTACCTAACTGAGAGAGAATATTATGCTTTCCTGGTCAACATTGCTTTACATATCAAAAATAATAGTTCACATTAACATAATACTTTAAATACAATGATCCCGTGAGCTAGATAGTTTAAAGACTGCTATTCCAATTGTATAGATAAGTAAACTGAAGCTCCAAGCTGTTCTTAAGTATTGGAACCAAGAGTTAAAGCTGTTTCCTGATTACCAGCCCAATACCCTTTCCACCGTACTGTGCAGTCTCTATAATAGCAATCTTAAAAGATACTTTGTTTATGTAGGATACCCACTTTAATGGAAAGCTTCCTTTCTTTCATAATGACATCAGCATGGATAATCTATCCATTAGTGTGCATAGCAACTCATGTATACCTTCTCATCCTGTGTGGATGCCACTCATTTAAAATCCTTTATAGAGGTTCTCTCTTGTGTTAAACTTTCTTCTGATTCTTTTAATATTTTGTGAATACCAGTGTAATACTTAAGCTGCCTCCTTATTATACCTCACTCACTACGTGACCGATCCACTTTTCTGGTTATACAGATCTTTGATAATACTTTTCAATCCATTTCTTGTATATTCAAGTTATCATTGGCAAAATCCCATAGCTTACTTGGGTAACTAGGTGGCACAGTGGATAGAGCACTGGGCTAGGAACCAGGAAGACTCTGCTTCCTGAGTTCAAATCTGGCTTCAGACACTTGCCAGCTATGTGACCCTGGGCAAGTCATTTCACCTTGTTTGTCTCAGTTCCTCACCTGTAAAATGAGCTAGAGAAGGAGATAGCCAACCACTCTAGTATCTTTGCCAAGAAAACCCCAAATGGGGCCATGGAGAGCCAGACACCTGAACAATAACTTATTTACAAAGGCCATGTATCTTTCCACTAT